TGTCTGGTTGGTTACAGGACACCTGTTAGTTACGATCCCCGTGCTTCAGTAAAAAAACACCAAACAAAAAAACCCGAAATCATAAGTTTTGATTTCCCTGATACTTGTGCATTATAATGCAATAATCCATACTGGCTGTTGGCATCCGTTCGGCAGATCAAAAGTCCGAAGTGACTCAGTCGCAAATTCCAATTTAGATTCTCAACTACTCGTGAGTAACATAAGTTCCTATGTCTGTCTATGATTTACAACAGAAAACAAAATGAAGCACCGGCCCCATGGAAAATCCTGTGAATTCTTTTCCCATTTGAGAGTTAGCTTCGGAACACAAATGGATTAAATAGGTCACAGCCCTGTGCACAAAACTATACATGCCATCCTTTTTTTCGGAAAATCATCGGACTTCACCGGTATAGACATGCAGGTGCAAAACAGTTGAAAGTTTTACTAAGATTTGGCCCCGCATTTATTGTTTGTTGACTGTTTGCGACTATTGCTGAGAATTTGTCCTTTGGGTGTATCAAGCGTTTCTTTAAATGATTTACCTTGACTTGGAGTAACCCAATTAGGCAATCAATGCAGCCACAACGATCAAGGCCTTTTTAAATAAACATGCTCGGATCTATGAATAACGCATCTACCTGCTTGAGATCAAAATACAACATATTTCTCACTTTTCGTCTAAAAGATCAGGTAGCATTATGGGATACTATCAACCACAAAACAAGAAAAAACAAGCTTACAGAATTGGCTGAGATTATCGCTAACAAAAGTCTGCTCGCAAATCTGCTCGAAAGTAACATGCACGTTAATCCGCTGCAATCGATAAATCACAGCCCTGCTGCAAACCAATAAATCGACGACACGTAGTTATCTAAAACGAATACCTTACCTAAGTTAGAGAATGCTATGTAAATCTATTTTTTTCATCCGTGTATAAGATTAGTATGAATGAACTATACCTCCTCCAGCTAGACATTTTGCAATTTAGTAAATGAGTTTCATAAAAATTCAAAGATTATAAGAGAGGACTGGAACTAAGATGAAGGTGACTATTCACCTGTGATGATCCTATCTCAGTAAGCTAACTACCCCTTAGAACAAACATTTACTTGTTTCACTTTCGCTCACAAATCGGAGTATGAAAACGAAATTTCATGAAAGTTTTCCATGGTATTTAACGGACTGTTCATAGACGACTGATGTGCATTTATAAAACCTATTCTGGGTTTATTTCTGTAGACTGTGGGGACTGTGGGATTTCTATTACATTTCTCAAATTGATGTAAACTCGGAACGTAAAAGTCAAAACATCACAATTCAGGTTGTCTGTGACGGATCAACTAAGCGGATGATAGAAACGTGTTATAGCGACAGGCTTTGCAGAAGGAAAAAAATCTTTTTTTATCAGAATTACTGATTATTACCTAATCGGCGAATTTCATATTATTCTAACATATGGAATGATTGTGTGCGATCCGCTTGTTTGAGACGCTTTGTGCAGTACGAGTTAAACCCATATCACAAAGTTTCATTCACCTAAATTTCAACTAAGTGGAGAGATTTCGCGAGACGGAATCGTAAAATCTTTTTTTGTATTCCTAAGACCAGTAAATCATGAGGGAGAAAAGTAACGTAGTGGTACTTCAATTTCGGAATTTGTTCTTCGCACTAAGTGGGAGGCCTAATCTGAAGGCTGGCTTTCAACTGGAAATGACAAGTGGCACCCTGCGTCTAAATTTGCAGGTGGCTCATCAACCATTGACTAACCGTATCTTGCAAAGAAATCTGAACGAAAGTAACCCGTTACAAATTTCGTGACCGTATTCATACCATACACGCCCTCTGTACAACCGGTTTGGAATTCTACTCCCTCCTGCCTGTTTGGTGACTATCCACTACTGATGAGCTCTATCGAGATTAAAACTATGGTCTAAGATTCACCAAATGCTCGATAGACTGGACGAATTGAACAATGAAGAAGCTTATCCTGCACAGCCGTTTGTTTTGTTGCGTCCAATTTGTTTCACTATGGGCCTGTACAAAACCCAACCCTGTATAGACTATGGAACCGTCCGATTCATGTGATTAGTCCCATAAACACACGTGATTTGCATGTTGGTTGAGATTTGTGCGCTACGCATCCGAAAATATACTTTCTAATGCCAGGAGAATTGACTTTTAACAAAGGCTGATGAGAAACTTCAACTGACGAGGAGGCGATGAAGTAGTCGCCTTGGGCCACATCTCTCGGATGCTGTTGTTGATTAAGACTACCATGTAACTTGAAATTTTCCAAGGAATTTTTTTCTCAGTCAAATGTGTGGTTGATGATTTACGCTTTATATATAAATACATAGATAAAATATGCTGCTTTCATTTTTTTGTACGAATGCAGAAGACTGCCACCGACGACTTACGGGCATTTTAAGCGCTGTTTTCGAGATGGAATACAAACTGAAGGCAGTTTTTCAATCCTTTGGTGGTTTCCCCGATAATCGGCACACAAGCGAAAAGGTTAAATTCGACCTACAAAGGAGAATAGGACTTATGGAAACATCCGCTTCAATCAACTCAATTGTTGTGCCACGATTCAAAGGAAAAAGCAACCATACAAACAGATTCCCACCGAAAGTAGGGAAATTACTGTGGGCCAAGCAACGACTGACGAGGACGGTGGCATTGTACGAGAAAAACATTACGGGCGGCTATTAATGGTATTAAGAAACTCATATATATAAAGCTTCAGTATTAGCTTGCAGCTATCTTAATTTTCCTCTGTGTTTTCAATTTGTGAAAGGTAAAATTAGCTTAGATATCTTGCCACTTTCAAACGGGTGTCCCCTTGAATATGGGAGTTCAATCTTAACGACCTTCAAACAAATATACGATCAAAAGGAGAAAGAAGTGTTAGTATTGCATGTTCAACTCATGCATTTATGTAGGCGCAGGTTGTGAACCGTCGTACGTTATTGCAAATTATCCCTATCACCAATACAATAAAACAAGCTGTATTACGAACAGTGTAGACGCGAGTTTGTGGTGGACATTTCATCGTGGACCATAGTGTCCGATACAAGTGAGGCGCGAAATCTGGATACCATGATTATTGTTACCTTGGGGTTGACAGGGCCCGAGAATTCTCAAATGCAATGGATCTGAAGTTCTAAGTACGGCGAGGACGATGGATTTGCAAACTAATGAGCACCAACGAGAGTGAAACTGGAATCTAGTTCTTCCCGAGTGTACGTTTGACTGGATGATGCGGGTATTGTGCATCAATTTGGGGTCTGGCAGATAGTCATCAAATGGACGTCAAATCAAACGCATAAACACTGTTCTGTCCGGGTGCAATGAGTCAAAAAATTCAGAGACTGCAGAGCCAGTAAACGTTAAGCTAAGTCTGAAAATGAACTCGACTATGTGGAACAGGTATTACGACCGCGGAAGTAGGTTGCTGTGCGTAATTCAATCAGATGATACGATGAGTGAGTGCAATCGCTGGAATTACCGGAGGTGTGAGTGAAGGTATAAGTGAGGTCGCACTAAACCAAAATTTTAAGTAGTATGTATGCTATGGGCAAAGCCCAAAAAGCAGAAAGGGCATCCGTCTAATGAAGATGAAAGGGGATGTATGTGAATAGGAAGAGACGAAAACGAGCAACCTCATGTTGCACTGCACGCAGATCCAACAATATCGGCAGATGATTTACCATCCCGAACATCAGGTGAGCTGGTGTACAATCAAAAAATAAAAAGAAAGGATCCCAGAGAAGAAGGAACGGTCGGATACTGTTTCCGGTATGACTATGTTGTTTTGCTGCATTGATCTCATTTTATGATTAGTCTGTGTAATACCTTGTCTAATTAATCGAACCACGTGACTGGTGAAAGTAACATAATGACCCCCTGCTTTTTTATCGGGTTGCATTTGTGCACTGCTTACCAATAATGTATACTTTTAGAATGTTTAATTAATCGATTTTTATCAAATGTCCAGTATCAGGAAATGATACCATCTGCACAAAGAGGAGAAAGTATCAGACTGGCCATCGCTGTTCGGAGTTTACGGTTCTTTTGTTTTGCCAATGAATACATCAGTCAGCATGTCTGATTGGAAAAGTCCTGGCAGCCCTATCACTTTGCCGACTGATCTTCCTGTCAAGAGAATAGTGAACTTTCAAAGTACGAGGAGGTAAGAGTTTCATCGAGTTGATAAGTAAAATACCTGCCAGAGTAGGTGATCTACCTCACAATTTCTGAACCACGCACACACATTTTACCCGTAAGCTTACGTTCCTGCAAACACGGTCTGTTTATTCCCATCTATATTTCTGTGCTTCTTGTGCTAAGTATTCAAGATATTGAAATGCTGATATTTTGTCATGCGTTAATTTTTTGTGTATAAAAGTTATCAGTCCGGATTTCAATCTGTATTCTATACAGTTTTTACTAGCCAAAATTCCAATGCGAATCGGACGTTTTCCAAATAGCAATCGCCATACCAGTTGGATGTTTCATGTTTCCTCAATTTTACTTTATACTTATCAATTTGTGGTTCTTNTTCTTCATTCTCCTGAAACTCCTGAGAAAAGTGGTGTTCACAAAGTGTTTTGTAAAACATCCCCCTAAATGTGTGCTGACATGATGGTAGATGGATAAGCGAATCACATAACACACACATTGGTTTAGTGATTTCTAGTGACTATTGGCTGATTTCGACGGGGCACCGTCTAGCTTTGACTGTACACCGTAGCTATGTAAAATCCAACCATTTGCGTATAGAAACAGACAAGCATGACTGCATGTACCTTGAATCTCAGTTCACGCTGATTGGATTGTCTTACCTTTAGGAAAGTAGACATTGGTTCACGGTTTGTTGACATATCAATACATGCACGCGTACCCGCACACGAAAATTCAGTCTGGTGGATAATTTGTCACAGTGATGAAAATTAAATGCAGAATAATTTACTGCTCTTTGTATTACATAACACATTATGGCCACTATTGGTATTGACCTGGGCACAACGTACAGTTGTGTGGCTTGTTATCGCCACAATCAACCGCAAGTAATACTAAACACCCATGGTGAACCGGTGACACCAAGTGTGGTTGCGTTCACCGAACAAGAATATCTGACTGGGAATCCTGCGGTGTCTCTGCTGGAATACTGCCCAGAAAACACTGTTTATGACATCAAACGACTAATCGGACGTCCTAGCTCAGATCTAGCAACTGAAAAAATTTGTGAACAATTTCTGTTTGAAATCAGTTTATCTGAGCCGCGTCCCAAGGTGAATGTTCAGTACCGAAACGAATTGTGCCACTTCAGTCCAGAAGAGATTACTTCCTTCATTCTCAAAGATTTGACCAACTCTGCAGAAACGTTTTTGCAAGAAGAAGTCACCGGTGCGGTTGTTACGGTTCCCGCCTCGTTCAATCACTTGCAACGTAGAGCGATTAAATCTGCCTGTCAACTAGCTGGGCTCAAACAGGTCCGTCTGTTGAACGAGCCAACCGCGGCAGCACTAAGATACGGTTTGGACAAACGACTAAATAATGGTTCGATCGTCCTTGTCTACGATTTGGGAGGTGGAACATTCGACTTGTGTGTTATGGAGTTTCGTGATTCTGTTTTCGAAGTGAAGTGTAGTCAAGGCAATCCGAATCTCGGTGGTCGAGATTTTGATCGGCGTTTGATGAACCATATCAAGGACAAATTTGAAAATCTATACAAGTGTAATTTAACCGGGAATCGAATAGCATTGGAACGGTTGCGTAAAGCTTGCGAATCGGCCAAATTTCGACTATCTGAAGCGGCTTTCGCCAATGTGAGTATACCTCATTTTATCGAAAACATATCGCTGAAGGAAACTATAGATCGAGTCACTTTTGAACGGTTGAATGAAGATTTGTTTCAGCGCACATTCAGTTTAATGGAGCAAATGCTTCAGGAATGTGGAATAAGCGATCGGAAAATGATCGATGAGGTGATCATGATCGGTGGCTCAACTAGAATACCCAGGATAAGAAAACTTATGAAAGAGTTCTTTCACGAAAAACATTTAAATTGTGCTCTGAATCCCAACCAGGCAGTTGCCGAAGGTGCAGCCATTTATGCAGCAAAACAATACGGACCGACAGACTCCAACGAACACTCTGACTGGGTTTTGCAAGAAGTAAGTCCACTATCCATCGGGCTTGAGGACAGCGAAGGCAAAATGGTTTCCATGATTGAACCCAGAACACCGCTTCCAGCTAAGGGAACAATTTACGCAACCACAGCGGCGGATAACCAGGATACAATGCTCATTAAAGTTTACCAAGGACCACATTCCATAGCAGCACAAAATCAATTGTTAGACCATGTTTTATTTGAAGGAATCGTTCCCGAACCTGTTGGACGTGCACTGGTACGAATTGGGTTCAAACTGAATGTGGAAGGAATTGTAACTCTGGATATCTACAACCTGATCAACGGAACGGGTGTAATCTGTCAGACCAAGACCATTGATTGTGCCCCAGATCACAATGAGAGGACACTTTATCAACAGGTACAAACACAACAAGCTCAGACACAACACATACCTTTGGGCCGAAGTGGGCAAAAAGACGAGGTTGCCCGTATACGCCTAAGTTTGTTGCTCAACGCAACCTCAAATAATCACACGATTAACAAAAATCCACTGATGAAAAAAACATATACCGAAATCAAACATTGGTTGGAACAGAATCCGTCAGCTGGACATTTGGAAATCGAAAATCAAATCAAAAAGTTACAAAATCTCACAAAAACGCCCACAAGCATCGGACGGAGGTAAGAGAGGTTCAACTGATCACGCCTCAATGTAGGCAGCACATATGCGTATGAATGCATGTAGGTGCGATGTTATTCAATCAAACTCGTAATAAATACTTTTTTGTTTTATTCATTTATGAAATTATAATACTGGGCACATGAGGAGCATCATGACGGAACAATACACCGGTCGGAAGTTGAACACATGACACGAACTTCATTCCATTCACATCATTTTTCACAGGAAGAATTTAGGATCTTACAAATCGCGTGTAGAATTCTTTTTTTTCATGGTGGGACTCACAAAAATGAGCATCTGCGTATTTTTTCGAGTTAATCTCATTTCTATGACGTCTAATACTATGGTGTAAAACGGTGAAGGAAAGGTGTAGTGTTCACACACCATCGTCAAGAGACCTACATTCACAGAAGTGTTCCCTTGCTAGTTATGCAAGTGACATTGATTTATTTTACATGACATCCCTATATCATTTTTCACTTTCAAATATTTTGATGCAACTATACGGTGTTCGGGTACCACGTAGGCGGTATACTTTGATATACAAGGACGAGTTCTTGACGTGACTGATTTATCCAACTGACAGATTGCGAGGATGGTCGGAATCCAGCGCTCATTTGACACAAGTTCCATCCATTGTCATGTGACTTAATGCAAAATCGATTCACCCCGTGCGAGGAAACTGTGTATAGTGATTGGAGGTTTGACGGTCAGTTGAACAAGCCCTTTGCATCAACAGTTATAATTTGTACGATGCAAAATAGTATCACTTTACTAACCTTAGATTTATACCGAGACGTCTTTAATTGGGAAAGAAAGCATAAAAACCATTATCTCCTCCAGACACAGTTCAGTAATGGTCAGGCCAAATCCAAGGACAACCTAAATAGTAGTACTTGGTGTTGTAAAATTGTTCTCTTTGTCTTTCAGACGTAAAACATCATTTACGCAGGTTTTATTGATAGCCCGAAAGACATTTTAATACACAGAGTCCACATTTACTGATTACAATGATAAAATTGATCTGGGAAGCACGTGCTGAATTCATAAACCATTAATTTAGCTTACCCAATAAAAACTCCGTTTTTCAGAAGTTTGACTTGGTAAAATCTTCCGTATTATATCTCTTGACGGTGTGTTTTATGCATTAGTTCTCCGTAAGAAAATCCCATGATGACTTATCATGTCGCCTCGAGTGAGTGAATCTTTACAACTCTCTTGGGATTCACGTTATAGCTATCCGTTTGGGACCTCAGTCGATGCAACAAAACTTTGTTAGATGACAGGTTACCTAGTCCTCTTAGTACCGTTTTACGAGTTGAATAAAATTGAAATTTGATAATTTTTCTTCACATACAAGTCATAAATCGAATCTCCTCTCACTGCACTGACAGTAAATTTGGCACTCTCCCAATCACCATGGCTGTGTCGATCCAGTTACTCGATCGTTTCACTGAAACCGTGATCGTTCTGTTTCATTCTTACGCCAAATTCAAGCTCCTCTTCAAGGAAAATGACCGCAGTTGCTGCCAAACTTTTGTCACTTAAGTTAAAATGAATAATTAAATGGGTATAATAGAATCACCACCGATGTTCAAAACAGAAACGATAGCTTTTCAAAGTCACGTTCTCCGAAATACCATTCAAGATGTCCGGGTATCATCTAAGGATGTCTTATCATAATTTCAAGCTGTTTCGTTGACCTCAACGGCTCTGACAAGCCCTCCCAGCGATGTCTGGATGACCATCATGCAGCACAGAATTCTCTGCCTCACACTGAAGGGCGGCGAGACGATTGTGAGACGTGCCTCGGTCATACACACTCCAATTCCCATGACATACATATTGGTTGCTTATATTGCTCATGCGCACACGCGTCCCTGTGTATGTCTATGTGTCTCCCTCTCCCCCTGAAAGGTCATATCGGGCCTTGATCCGCTGATACCAATGCATCATGCACGATCAACGTCTAAGCCATTGCTTACCTCCGTAGCTTGATGCTTCAATAGAATGCATAAGTTACACCTCAAGCGGCTGCGCTTGGACACCAAACGTTCATGTTAAATCGATACGCGCATCAGTGTTGATCAGATTCACTTTCATTTTGTTCGACACTTTCAGGTCATATTCCATCTCTGTTTGACACCATCACAGAACAAGCACCTTCAAGTACTGAACAATCAAAATGACCATTTTGGCCATATTTTCGGAACGGAATGAGATATCTCTGTCAGACCAACTACCATATAAATAATGTAATGAGGCTGTTGAAATGTCATAAGTTTTATGATAGTTACGGAATTTTATAAGAAATCACAATTACTCTATTCACGATTTTTGATTGCGAAAATAATCGGTAACTTAGTAAGTCTTAGGACATCAAAAAACCTTTTCTACATAACGTAGACCAGCGCTAGATGAACTGCAACTGTCAAAAGATATCCCAACCTAAAAGACCCACTAAAACTCATGTTGCGCATCCCAGCTACACCTTTTAATGTGAGAATGGAAGCCGTTGAAATGCTGAAGAACCAGTATGCGCTATTTTTGCTATGTCAACTAATGAAAGACTGTACCTCCCTAGCTGGATGCATCAAATTCAGTACTTGAAGGTGCTTGTTCTGTGATGGTGTCAAACAGAGATGGAATATGACCTGAAAGTGTCGAACAAAATGAAAGTGAATCTGAT